CGTCTCTCTCTCCTCTCTCTCTCTCTCTCTCTCTCTCTCTCTCTCAACACGCACCGTACATTGAGCATTAAATGTAAAACACAAAATCAATTGAAAATCCAAAAAACAAAATCAGTAACCAAAATTAGATAGAGCACGATGATTAATGGAGCTCATGATATCTCAAATTAATACTTCAAAGAAACTGGGTGCATATTGGCTTAGTATTAGTATTAATATTAATATTAATATTAATAAAAATGATATTATTATTATCATCATATCATATTATATTATATTATTAAGAGACAATAATTATCACATGATATAAGTAATGTACGCGTGCTAAAGAGCATTAAACATCAACTATACAGAATGAAATTTTCCTTAAAAACATAAAAATTAATATATAACTATAGATAGTACGTGAAACACCAAAATTTGGTATTTTAAATTTTTCAAAGGAAATGTCTATTATGCACCCACGAACGCATGAGTTCACCCAGATTTTTCATGGATTTACTATCTGAAAGCAATCTTAATCCACTAAAATGCAGTTACGTATTTATCCGGGAATTTGCAGTCCAAAATAGTGCAATTCTGATGATTTGTAAAGACAAAAAAAGTAAATTTGGAAAGAAAAAATTAAAATACACTATCAGTATGGTTCATTTCTCGCTCTTTTTCTTTTTAGCATACTCATGATTGTGTCAGTCGAGATTATCAACCCGTAAAATTTTGGATCTTTTGAAAGGTAAGACACATTTGAATAGGTGTACTGGCTGACGACCAAAACCTCACCTTCCTTTTAAAATGGGAAATATGTTATAGTCCGCTAAAGTATGGAAAACACAGGTATAAGGATCATCAGTATTCAATCAATAGGTTGACGGTGGTATAAAGAGATTCTCTCCATCACAGTATGACCATTGATGAAACTTTTTTCTGGCTAGAGAGCAATCACCATTTCCATTCGATCTCTCTCTAGAGGTAGTTAAATTTCGCTCTCAGCCTCTCATAATAAGTAACCCCTCTCCCTTGCTTTCTTGATGGGTTTCCATCTGCTCTCACTCTCGTTATTTTCTTTTGATTCAATCCATGACTACTCTCTTTAGTCCCTAATTAGAGGGAATCACAATTGTCGAAGCATCATGCAAGGAGACTCTCTCTCTCTCTCTCTC